TAACTCCCTAACCTGGAAGGGATTGGTTGGGTTGGAAAGGTTTGCTGTACCTGTTTATTCTGGAGAAGGGAAGACTGAGAGGGGATCCCATTAGTGCATATAAATATCACAAACGCGGGTGCCAGATGCATGGTGACAGACTCTTTTCAGTGGTGCCCAGCGATAGGACCAGGAGCAATGGCCATAAACTGAAACACAAGAAGTTCCACCTCAACATGAGGAAGAACTTTATGTTAAGTTTGGCAGAACATTGCAACAGGCAGCCCGGGAAGGTCATGGAGTCTCCCTCTTTGGAGGCATTCCATACCCACCTGGACACGTTCCTGTGTCACCTGCTCTGGGTGACCCTGCCTTGGCAGGCGGATTTGGACTGGATGATCTCCAGAGGTCCCTTCCAACCCTAACGATTCTGTGATTTTAGAAATGTTCTTTCTTATCTGTCAGCTCCCTGCTGAATGTGCAGCTTGTCTTTCAGTCTTGATACAGGTAATAAAGCATCCATCTACAGGAGTTTAAATTATAGATGTGTTTGTTTTACGTGGATGTGTTCTGTTTTACAGAACAGCAAACTTGTGTAGAGATGCTTTAATGGGTAGATAGCTCTTTAAAATGGAACTATTTCATCAGGGATATCTTAAAAGAGATGTTCTATTTCTCTCTCTGTTTTAGGATGAAATCCTCTTTCCCAGGGTGAAGAGTTAATTAGGATTATTTCTAGGAAACATAGGTATGGGTTTGAGAACAGCACATGTCTCTTAGGAAGTGTGTGATGGCCTTCATGTTTATTATGTGGTTGTAGAATCCTTGTAAGTGAGAGTAAAGGTGCCAAGTATGCAACAGTTTCCATGTGCAGATTTGTTAGTAATTCTTACCTGTTATGCTTTCCTTTCTAGCAGTCATGGTGAATTTACCACAAGTTGTGCGTGATCACTGGGTCCACATCTTTGTTCCCTTGGGATTTGTGATTGGATGCTATTTGGACAGATGGAATGATGAAAAACTGTCAGCTTTCAGAAACAAGAGCTTATTATATAGAAGGTCTGCTTTATGATGCTTCTTAAATATATATATATAGTTATTTTGCAAAGTGCTTCTTTTTGAGAGTTTTAAATATGACCAAAAACCCCAACAGTCAAAATATTAAAGGAAAGAAATCCCTAAAAATTTCATCAAGCATTCATGAAGTGTTTTAGGTCACTAAATTGGGTCTTTAGGAGCCAACTTGTTTAGGAAAGAAAGGATTATTAACTGCTATGAAGTTCCTAGTCATGAAATGTGTAGAACACTATTTTGTCTCTCTCTAAAAGTTCAGCGGGAAACACAGTGCTTGAATTTTAGTTTTCTGTCTTAAATTATCACATCACTTTTTAACTAAACACTTGTATAAATGTATGTTATTTAAAAATAATAACCAAGGTTTTAAAAATTAACTTCTTTTGGCAACTGCTATATCTTCACTGAATGATGTGATTATATCACCATCATCATGGCTGGGCTTCACGAACGAAGATTTGGGAAGGGCTCTACCCACATTTGCTACAAGCACGCTGGTGGCTAAAAAGGCCAAGATAGACATGTCCGGTTGCAAAAGGCACAACAGAAAGACTCCTTAGGAGGTATATTCTGCAAGACACGATCCTTTCTGTGCTGTCTTTTCTCCTCAGGAGTGATCCTGTGTGCTTTCTCAAA